GCCTCCTACTACGCTAGTTCGGTTTCTGTACGCCCGGCGCATTATGAAGCTCTAGTCAACAGGGGCTGGCGAAGGTACGGCGGTTCGCCTTCGTAATGCGAGCCACATCCCACCCCCGTCTGGCTAGCCAGTCGCTAATCCAGGTCTAGGTCGGGGACACTGTACTACAAGCAGAACCTGCAACGATCATGCTGTCCTCATTATACGATGAGGTGTGTAATTGGTCCAATTCTTGTCCTTGACTAGCTTGCATTGACTTTTCGTCCAGGCTCGATGCCTCCGCCTTCACGCCTAGGAAAGACCAACGGAAGGCTATCAATCGTTGGAACAAATTCGTTCTAGGCCCGGAGTATATCCGTAGAGCGGCATACCTCTGCCCCAGGACACGGGAGTAAGTAGACCGTCTAATGTGGGGGAGGATGTGTGAGCTCACCAATGTTTAATCGTAGGGAGAAGAAGCGTCGCAAGTTCAACTTTGACCTTCTCGGTGCAGTTCACGAGGCCGAATACAGCAATGTGAAGCGGCCCATTGACCCCAAAACCAAGAGACCTTTGGAACCTGCTCATCGATTCGAGGTCAATCTGGAAGGCGACTCTATCTCTCAAGCCAAGTAGGTGTGCAGCTGCCTGTGTGTTCAACAGTTTATACTGACATCGTGCGAGATACGAACTTTTTCTCAAGTACCAGACCAAAGTCCACAAAGAGGATGCTTCCAAATGGGCAGACAAAGATTTCAAGCGCTTCCTTTGCTCGGGAATGACTCGATCTCCAGCAAATGCTGCCAAATCGGATGAAAAGAAGCTGGGCTCATGGCATCAATGCTACCGACTGGATGGCAAGCTCATCGCGGTGGCGGTCTTGGACCTTATGCCGAATGGTGTGAGCTCGGTCTATATCTTGTAAGTGTTCGACAGTAAACAGCAAGAGAAACCACTGACAAGAGAAGCTATGACCCGGAATACGAACAATGGGAGTTTGGGAAACTCAGCGCAATGCGGGAAATCGCGCTTGCGATTGAAGCCCAATACCAGTACTATTACATGGGTATGTTTAACACAGCCACCTCTTCTTCATACTATTCAACTAAATTGAAACGAAAACAGGCTACTACATCCACTCATGCCAGAAGATGCGCTACAAGGGAACATTCCGACCACAGTACATCCTAGGTAAGATTCTCAGTGGACTATCAACCCACTCTAATGAAAGTACCTAACGCATTATTAAGACCCCGAAAGCCACACATGGGACCCTCTCGACGGCGAACTATCCAAGAAGCTCGACGAACGGCCCTACGTATCACTTTCCCGGGACCGACAAGCCACCACCACAACCACAACCGGAGACAACAACACAGCAACACTTGAAGAAGCAGACGCCGAGATCAACGACGAAGAAGTCTCCCTCTTCGACCTCAACATGCCCGGTAACATGACTCTCGACGAAATCAAAGCGCTGGATCTGGATCACTGGCTTCTGCTGGTCCACGGTACTTTCGTGCATATGATTGTAAGCCCACATTCTCATCCTATTTTCCATTCTCTGGCTGCATATTGACTAATAATTTCTACAGGACCTCGTTGGATGGGAGAAAATGCCCATTGATAACCCCCAGTCCGTCAAAGGTATCATTGCAGAATTGGCGGCCGTGCTGGGCCCGGAGGTCGTCAAGAACAGTGCTGTGGTGCTTTTTGACTAGCGGGGTACTGAGTATGTAGTAGTTACCTTGCACGTGTCTGTTCATGTGGTGGAGATCGTATAGTAGTTACCACCATACAGCGGGGTAAAAGCAGATACTGCATGCAGTAATATATGAAAGCCAATTTACCTGCTTTGAGAGATTTGTTTAAGTCAAAGTCAGTAGAGGATTACTCTCCACAGCATTACGCGGGAGTATATTTGCCTGATTATTAGTATAAGAAATGAGTCTGGTCTGATTATGAAGTAGAAAATTAGATTATCGGAAGGACTTCATGAAGACTTTGATGTAAGCTAGCTAGTACGTTCATGTAAGGAGGATTGATTCAAGTGGTTATCCAATTTTTAGGTATATTTGCATATCACTATATATAGCTGATCGGTCTGTATTTTCAAGAATCGATCAAAAGGAGAGAGTAAAATAATCATGCTGAGGAACATGCTTCATAACCAACAAGTGCTGAACATATGTGCACATAAGACAAGACAATCTCCCCCATCCCATATCAAGACGCCATTCATGATCCAAAAACATTTACTGCAAGTAAACAGAGAAACCCTGATGGCCAAGCGATGCATCCCAAAATCTCAAGTCTAGAATCAGAGCAATCCAATCCCATGCACCACACGCGCCCAGTCACACCGACTGTACATTTAAACGGAAGCGATGAAAAATGATAAAGTAGCGAAGGGCAAACTGGCAGTTCTTAGATACCCCCCATCAGCTCCACTGGGGGCCGTGACGTCTTGGGCGGCATCTTCTTGACCGACATCTCGATGGGGCTCATGTCCATATCGATATCCTCGTCTGGGGAAGCACTGGTGTCCTCGACCATGACAGCAGGCAAGTTAGGGCTACCTCCGTGGTCCTCGGGGTGGTAGATGAGGGTGCTGCTGCGGCTGCGCGTCTGCGACAGGGCCACGGGCCAACTGCTCGTCCTCTTGTCCGAGGTCATGGACATCGGAGTACCCGGCTGTTGTTGTTGTTGTTGTTGTTGTTGCTGCTGTTCGATAGATGACACCACCACTCCCGTCGCTGCTTCCTCAACACCGGACTGCTCCGTCTTCAACTTGGCCAAAGCCTGGGCGAGATCACTGGCGTGGACTTCCTTGTTGGGGGGATCCTCCTGGCGCATGACCCAGCCGTGGGGCGGGGAGGGGGGCGGTGAGATGAAGAAGAGCTTGTCGACTTGCGGGGCCTCCAGGAGTTTAGGGCGGGACTCAAGGTCGTCCATTATGGGAGTCGGTTCGCCAAAGTAGATCTTGGGGATGATGGGGCGGTTGAGCAGTGGTGCGCCAGTTAGGAGTTTGCGGATGCGGAGAGCGTCGGAGTCCGTGTGAAAAGAGCAGAGGATGCGGCGGAGGGAGGGGAGGGGGGAGAAGGAGTTGAGAGGAGCCAAAGACTCGAGATAGGCTTTAAGGTTGGCGAGGGAGTCGGGTTGGAAGAGGAGAATGTCGTTCAGATCGGTTATGATGAGGGTGTTGGAGGGAGGTGTAGGTTGTGTAAGAGGGGGGAGGTTGGACATGTCGAGGGTGAGAGAGGGTCGCGACGAGCGACGGGCTCCGAAAGAAGGAGAAGAGGTGAGAGAATGAGGTGGTGAAGCGGTGTTCATTGTGTGAATGTTGTTGTTAGTTGTGATGATTGTTGATGGGTTGTTTGTTTGTATGTGTGTCTTCAGAAGAGAGAAGGAGGAGAGAGTTGGTGGTAGTGGAGTAGTATAAGTAGTTGGTGGTGGTTGGAAGTGGAGGAGGCGATAGTAAAGATAAGCGGGAAGAATGTCAAATCTGGCAGGCGCGCTTATTCAAGGAGTCAACCACAACCACATAAAATCAACTCTATTCTTTGATTGATTGAGAGTGGTTCTTATTCAATTTGATGTTCTGAGAATGAACTGGAGAGGTGGTTTAAGAAGGAATTCTGCAGACGAAGCTGCTTGCATCTTATAGGCAGCGAGTGAAATATCCGTCTTCGTCGACGGGCGAGGCGCAGCCAAACGCCTTCGTGTCGCAGTGGAGATGCAAATCTGCTTCTTTGCACTGCCTTCCACTCACTCTTCGGCTCTTGCCCATTTTCAGGCAATTTTGGCTCCGTTCCTGTCGATCTCCGCACGCAGTTCTCCTTCTTTCTTCGCTGCAATCTGCATAGCGCATTCGCCACACTCACTCTCTCGTCCTTCGCCGTGTGGCTGAACTGCCGCTATTGCCACTAGATGCCCCCATTATTGGTGTCGTTTACAACTCATCCCCAACAATGACGATGATGCCATTCGCTGCTCTCGACGGTGGACCTCCTGATGATTAATTCAACTGTGGCTTGACTCTCTCTCTCTCTGCTTTTCTGCCTCCTTGTCGAGGCTATTGACTCCTCCTTGACTAGTACAGTACGCGGTAAACAGGGTCTCCCGACGTGATGCTCAATTCACTAGTGTCCAATGACTCTATCATCAACAGCCTCGGAATGCTTCACATGTCGTGGTCTCCACTGCCTGTGACGCATGAATGCCCCTTAGTTTCCACCCCCCTTGTCCTGAACCTTGAGTCTATCTATGTCTATGGTGTACAAAGTAGATACATCCCGGAGGATCCCGCATATCCATGGTTCCGGTTTCTCCGCAGACTCCATGATCCATCGGGTATGCAGCTCCGCCCCGACGGTGGAGAGCCGGCGATGAATGGCAGATCGCCGAATATACTACGCATACCTGTCCCCAGCAGCTGGCGCTTTCCCATGTTAGCTGCGTTGCAACTCCAGGCAGGCAATATTCTATGTCTTGGCCCTGGCACAGCATACTCTTGACTGCATTGCATGTACTGGCTGGCCACGTATTCGGCTCCCATACCAAGCCTCCCTGTAAGTGATGCAGCTCGGCTGTCACCCATTGCCAAAGCCCCGGGCCTAGGACCCTGCAGTGTCGGATACCACCCAGAGTTTATTTGCAGCTTCTTTGCCTTGTAAAATCTCTGTCATGCTATGTCACATGTACGATGTCCCATGAGTCGTGGCCTTGCTCGTGCTACTTACTTCCCCTGGAACGGCCTTCGTGTCATTTAGCTTGGATGTCATATGTTGGCTTCCTGCGAGGCTCATAGTGCCTTGAGACCGTTGGATCTCTCTGCTCAGCTTATCTCTTTTACAGTCTTAATCCTCTTCTCCGGAGTCAAATTCTGTCTGCCTGGAAGTCTGTGGGTAACACTGCATGAACCGATCTAGCTAAGCCCTGAGCTCTGACCACATCCCGTTCTCTGGCATAGCCACTCACTGTCCCGGTGTCCCCGGCATGCAATGCAACCGCTCCCTGGAGACTAATCTGCAGCCATGTCGCACACTGCCATTCTGATGGCAATGATACATTGGCCAGCCGAACGTAGATGGCACTATGGCGGCTTTCACGGGCATGGCGCCTTGTATGTAGCCTCTAGCAAGGCTATTACTCCGCCAAATGTGCTGTTGCATGACCGTCCTTCCGCAGCTTCATACGATCACAACAAGGCTTGTTCTGAGCCCTCGACTGGCAGATGCACATGAACTCCTGATGAGATTGAGGCTAGGTAGATGAGCCGCGCTCTGCACTAATGTTGGCGGCTGCGCTTACAACAACGTAGGCAAACGCATTACACAGGTATATTCCAGCCAACATCACTGGTTGTATACGAACTATGGAGTTTGGGGGCCATCTGTAGAAGCTCCTAATTAATGCATCCCTTTTCATTGCTTTTGCTGTTTTTGTGGGATCATATCGGATCCATCCTTGGCGTTAGGGCGCAGTTACCGAGTGTCCCTTCACCGACAGTCATTCAGACACATGATGATATCCATGTGCGCTGTCATGATGCTTGATCAAAGCCTCGATGTCTCCTGCTAGGCGATAGTGATCCAGAGTTCATCCACGTCTACTGAGATGGGTTTTTGTGCCGCTTTACAAATTCTCTAATCACTCTCACACCGTCGAAGATAGATTTCCGTCTGTCTGGCAAGAAGTGCAGACGTTTTGTGCAAACAGCACTCAAGTCCTGGAGGGATGCCCATGAGAGTCTGGCGTAATCGATCTGTCGTGTCATTGGAGACAACTATCATGCCATTCGATGGGGTCTTTCCGGTCTACACCCAGCCTAGAAATCCCTCCACAGGGAATCGGCACCTATTAGCCTTTAGTAGTGATTCCCCTACTAAAAGTCGTATGTGCTAACAGCAAAATGGTCGTCTTGGTCATGGAAGGGGAGTCACCCGGTCACTGGTGCACATGTCAATCGCCATCAATGTATAGCTTAGACATCAATAATCTCGTCTCCGCACTTCTGTAGCCATGGCATACTACTGGAAGAAGCCAATGTTCCAACTAAGGCCTTCAATGAACCATGTTTCTCCTTTAAAGCACAGATTGTTCACCGGTGGTGACCGACTTCGCATATTGATTGTTTCGGCAGTATACTCACCGCCATGATTGCCGCTTTTATACATGGAAGAAAGCATACTATGTTCCTTGCGCCATAGTCGACACAGATAGAATTCATGCATATAGACAGCAGCTTAATACTTATGGTAAGTAGACATATAGGCTTGAGGCAGATGAGAATTGTATTGAATGTCAGCTAGAGCCTTGCAATGCTTAGTTAAAGACAGCACGCGATCATCCGGCCCGAGGTTTCTCCCGGTGAAGGCGGTCAGATCAAGCCGCCGAAAGTTCTGCTTTCCAACGATATCGCCGATTTTGTTCAACCTCTCACGCCTCCAATCTTCGTCATACTCTGTTATTCACAGTCACCATATTTCACTTCCTCTCCTTCCAAAATGTTCCAGAGAACCTTCCTCAGACAGGCCCAGCGGTCCCTCCGCTCTGTGCGCCCTACCTCCATCAACACCTCCGCTCTCCGTCGCACGCCGCAGCTCCCCCAGGCTGTCCGCCCAATTGCTCCTCAGTCGGCCTACCGGTTCTACTCTACTGAGAACAAGGCCGAGAATGGCGAGCAGAAGGAGGGTGAATCTGCCCAGGAGGCTGAGGACCCCGTCCGCAAGGAGCTTGAAGAGAAGAAGAAGGAGGTCGTTGAGCTGAAGGTAAAGCTCCCTTCTCAACACGAGCGCCCGGCTCAATTTTTGACAGTCGTAAATGGTACCTTGCAGATCTCTAACTCTTTCATTAGGACAAGCTGCTCCGCTCGAAGGCCGACTTCCTCAACCTGCAGGAGCGCACCAAGCGTGACATGGAGAACTCTCGCAACTTCGCTATCCAGCGCTTTGCTGGCGACCTCCTCGAGTCCATTGACAACTTTGACCGCGCCCTCCTTGCTGTTCCCAAGGACAAGCTCGATGCTCCCCAGACTGAGGCCAACAAGGACCTGTTGGAGCTCGTTTCCGGTCTGAAGATGACTCAGAACATCCTTCTGAACACCCTGAAGAAGCACGGTCTTGAGCGCTTTGACCCCAGCGAGCCCACTGAGGATGGCAAGACCCAGAAGTTCGACCCCAACCTCCACGAGGCTACTTTCATGGCCAAGGTTGAGGGCAAGGAGGATGGTGACATCATGTACACCCAGAGCACCGGTTTCCGCCTCAACGGGCGCGTTCTTCGCGTAAGTGATTATTCTATGGCATGTATACGTGGTCAATCATGCTAACTTGTTTACTATAGGCTGCCAAGGTCGGTGTCGTCAAGAACTAGACGCTTCGCCAACACTCTTAACCATTATCTCTCCCTTTCCACCTCCCTGTCTTATCTTCTTGTTGTATAATATACCAAATACGTCTTCGCTATGATGGGGATCGACTTATGTTAATCCAACAGGCTGGAACATCTGGAATTGTTCCAGGTCTCTGTTGCTTTGTCCATGAACGCATGTGTGTATGATACACCTTACCTGTGTTGTGTGGTCTTGGTGCTTTATTATCTTTTCTGTTACTTGGCGTTGTTTCTGAACTCTCTCCTCCCTATTTTGTATATTATATCCCTGGCTGGTGTCTTTGTTCCTTTACTTCTCTCATGGAAAAAGTGGGATTGTGTTGTTGGGATTGGCATTGGCACGGATGTGGATGACATTTGCATGGCATTGGATCATGTTGATTTTTATTGCATCACTTTGCTTGCCCGGTAGGCAATGCAAGGTGTTTTGATCTAAACGACTAATAGAAAGTCTCTTGATCAAGACGATTGATGAATTTACAGTGTGCATCTCAGTAACAACCCGCGTAAGGCATGTATCTGCAGACCGCATTGTTCTCGTGCAATTAACAATAATGATGACTCAATATCTCCGAAATATCTATCAAGAATATCCTTTTTCCTGCCATATCCTCGTAATTGAAATGGTGAGGTGCAATTGCGCATCTCCCTCGGTGGCTCATTTTCCCGGCCCGATGTGTTTTGTAGACTTGGAGCTCTCAAACGCCGCAACCAGCTGTTGACTGCCCTCGGCGTCAGTCGTTGAATAACTCACACAGCACTCCGAGATGCGTCTCTTTGCCACTGGGAGGGCCCTGCGCGCAAGCAGTGCCCGGTGGGCAATTGCTCCCTCACGTCGGAGCGTACGCATCCCACTCTCGCAGTTCTCGGAGCCCTTTGCCGTGAAGCGGAGAGATTGGAGTTCGACGGCAATCCGCCGAACAAACGAGAATGCGGGTGACAATGAAAAGCCCTCTCTGCGACCTTCGGTGCCGCAATCCTTGACCATCGAAGGTCAATCCTACCGCACAGATCAGTGGACGAATACCCCGGATACGATTCTCTCCCACATCGGCCGCCGCCTATATCTCGATGAGAACCACCCTCTAGCGATTACGCGCCAACTGATCGAGAGCCAGTTCCCTGGCCCGGCATACGGAAACTACACCGAGAAGAACCCTGTTGTGTCGACAGCGCAGAACTTCGATGTCCTGGGCTTTCCCTTGGATCACCCCGGTCGGAGTCGCACGGACACTTACTACATCAACGATAAGACGGTCTTGAGGACACACACCAGTGCCCATCAGCAGGCATACTTTCAACAGATCAATCGCAATGAGAGCACCCGTCCGGAGGAAGTTGGTTATACTGTCGTCGCTGATGTGTATCGGAGAGATGCGATCGATCGCAGTCACTACCCGATCTTCCATCAGATGGAAGGCGCTATGCTTTGGAAGCGACCGGATAATGAGCCCTTGAAGCATGCTAGTCAGACTGCTGCGACGATCATGGAGGATGTCAAGAAGATCCCTGCTCATGACGTCGAGGTCGAGGATCCCAACCCTACGATCCACGCCCAGCGGAACCCCCTCCAGGCGGAATATCATAGCGAGGAGGAAGTTGAGGCCATCGCGGCGCACCTCAAGCGGTCTCTGGAGCGCATGGTCATCAAGATCTTTACCGAGGCCAGCAAAGCTGCTGCTGGTAGCAGTGAACAACCAGAACCCTTGAAGGTCCGCTGGGTGGAGGCATACTTCCCATTTACCAGCCCGTCCTGGGAGTTGGAGGTATTCTGGCAGGGTGACTGGCTCGAGGTCCTCGGTTGTGGTGTTATCAAACAGGAGCTGCTGAACAACTCGGATGTGCCCAACCGTGTCGGATGGGCCTTTGGTATCGGTTTGGAGCGTATTGCTATGCTTCTGTTCAACATCCCGGATATCCGCCTGTTTTGGTCGCGTGACGAACGATTCCTTTCCCAGTTCCGCGCGGGTGAGATCACTCGCTTCGAACCCTTCTCCAAGCACCCCGCCTGTTACAAGGATGTTGCCTTCTGGCTGCCCTCTGCGTCTGTCAGCGGTGGCAGTGCGGCGGGCGGAGCTGCGCCCGTGCACGAGAACGATATCATGGAGATCGTCCGCGGCGAGGCAGGAGACCTGGTGGAAGACGTCCAGCTGATTGACGAATTTACCCACCCCAAGACACACCGGAAGAGCATGTGCTACCGTATCAATTACCGGAGTTTGGAGCGCACCTTGACGAATGAAGAAACAAATGACCTACATGAGAAGGTCCGCCAAAAGCTTGTGGGCTTGCTGGGAGTTGAGCTCCGCTGATGGCAGCGAGTGTTATTATAAATGCTCGCGATGTACTAAATGCCAAGTTACAGTTGGCGAGTCGAGTCTATATGTACAACAACTGTGTATTACCATGTTCAGATAAAATCACCTATCCTCCAACTTTAACTAACCGGACGTTGGGCTAGGGAAGATCTAGCCGCGGCTGCTTTCATGTACCTTAAATCTAGTCTACGGCATGGGACGTATGCAGCGTGACGTAGTGGCGATCCAAGCAGGGCCTATACTTTGTAGTAGAGTAGGATTGTCGAAACCAGCTGAGGAGCTACCAAACAGCTATGGCATAGTATGCTGCTTATTCCCCGGTCTTCGGAGGTAATTCAAGCACCGAGTGCATCAGCAGAGTTACCCCAAGCGAGGCTATCTCGATGGAGGCGCCCCGCGGGTATCGAAGGACACAGAGAAAGCCTACTTGAAATACGCGCATTACCGAGGATTACCGCTCGGCCTCCTTCTGGCCGCCAGAAACCGAGACGCTGATTGGCCAGCGCGGTCCCAGACCGGTTAGTGCAGCCGAAAAGCAGGGTTTCGGAGACTTGATCTATGTCCGGCGCCGCCGATTTCTTACCAGCGTATTACTCACTTTACTGCGTCAGACTGGACTTTATTATTATCATCGTTGCCTTCATTCCATCTCTCATTCAAACTACGAAATCTCCCCTCCTCCACCCCCCTCTCCACTCCTCCCCCTCCTCTATCTGTCTCCCTCCCCGGGATCACTCTTCCCTCCGCTGAAATGTCTACCATGGCCAGCGGCGCGAAGTTGGAGGCGTCGCATCCTCCCAAGGCGGCGAATGCTCCAGCCCCTGCAAAAAAAGTCCATTATCCTTTCTGGTTCGGTGGTTCAGCATCATGCTTTGCGGCTGCCGTTACTCACCCTCTGGATCTCGGTAAGCTCTAATTTAGCCAACACCAGAAAAAAAAAAAAGTATGTGCTGGAATTGAAGCTAATCTTTGTCTACAGTGAAGGTAATTCATGCCTCCTGGACTTTTTATAGGAGCTCTTGACTTTTCCCCCTCCGCGTGCTTATTCCTATACTTCGTTGTCTCACCGAAACGCTGATCGATGTGCGTTTTAAAAAATTATAGGTCCGCCTGCAGACCCGCGGGCCTGGCGCCCCCTCGACTATGGTCGGCACATTCGTGCATGTGTTCAAGAATGACGGATTCTTCGGTCTTTACAGCGGGGTATGTAGTATCCACCAACCCTTCAGATCATGTCGATTGTACTACATGATGCTAATGTCACTTCTTGTAGTTGTCCGCCGCCATTCTGCGCCAGCTGACCTACTCCACCACACGATTCGGTATCTACGAGGAACTCAAGAACCACTTTACCTCCCCCGACTCGCCTCCTGGCCTCTTCACCCTGATCGGTATGGCCTCTGCCTCCGGCTTCATCGGTGGCATGGCTGGTAACCCCGCCGACGTTCTGAACGTGCGCATGCAATCCGACGCTGCTCTCCCTACCGCTCAACGCCGTAACTACCGCAACGCGATTCACGGATTGGTGACAATGACGCGCACCGAAGGTCCCGCCAGCTTGTTCCGCGGTGTGTGGCCGAACTCGACCCGTGCTGTTCTCATGACAACGTCGCAACTGGCCTCGTACGATACCTTCAAGCGCCTGTGTCTTGAGAAGCTCGGCATGTCTGATAACATGGGAACGCATTTCACTGCCTCCTTCATGGCTGGATTTGTGGCTACCACTGTCTGCAGTCCCGTTGATGTGATCAAGACTCGTGTCATGAGCGCTTCTCCGGCTGAAGGCCGCAGTCAGAGCATCGTTGGACTGCTCCGCGATATCACTAGAAAGGAGGGCCTCGCATGGGCTTTCCGTGGTTGGGTGCCGAGCTTCATTCGTCTCGGTCCTCACACCATTGCTACGTTCATCTTCCTTGAGGAGCACAAGAAGCTCTACCGCTTGTTGAAGGGGCTTTGAATTCCCTGAACAGGTTTGACGTATAGATTTGCTTCATTCTGATTTGTCTTTTCTCTTTTTTCCAGTCACATATCTGCGATATCCGTCCATATGCTGTGTTTTCTTGGGATAGATGGTCTTTTGCTTTTTACTTTGTTATAAACCTTTCTTTCTTGATCTCTCATTGGCGAAGCATTACCGGGAGGACAAAAGTCTTGCGCATTTTATTGCTTGTGTTCATACCCTTGTATATATCTTATAGATTACATCTCCTTTACCTTTGCTGTTATCTCTCATTTCTCTTATTTTCTCCTATCTTTTACTCTTGACTTCTTTGTTGTCTCTTCGAGCTGGCTAAAGTGACTTCTGTCCTCCAGTTTCTTCTCAACGCTTCGCCAACATCTCGCCTCTTTCTGTCTGCATCTGTCCACTATCTGGAATTAACTAATATGGAACAGCACGTACCTCGGAGGCATATATGTCTCCTCTTGCGACATTTGATAAACAAGACTTAGACGTCCTGGAACATGAGACCTCCAACCATTGTGATTGACATCAGATTCTGAAAGCCATCTATCACCAACTAACATTCATAATTCTATACTATGTCTTGGTGAGAGAGTGCTTTTTGCTATAAACCTACAGTTCACATAACATGTATTCCTTGCAATCTAGATTAAATCAGAATGAAATGCCATAATCTTCAGACACATATTCTTACTGTATTGTATCATCTTCCCTCAAGTCCAACACTCGATTGTGGCTGATCTCCTTCAACAAATGTACACTGCCACAGGACTAGTAGTACGTAGGATTTTGACCATATCATCATTATCGTTAAGTTGGTTGTATAACTAGCAGTAAACAGCAGTGATGTTGTCTTCATAGTAATAGTTGCTTCGCAATGTACATAGTGAGGTAAGCAGATGCATAAATGGAATAATCTGTTTATCAGTTCAGTTCAGTTGTTGTGAAAGATTTGTTTTTGGTGTTGGTGATTGGTTGGTTGATTGGTTTACTATCGGATATCGTATGATCTTACGACGGTGTTGTTGGTGGTAAGCAGAGTGGTTATCATTTTGTACTTTTCCAGCTTTTCAGGTATTGTTGAGGTGAGTGACATGTACATTTATTTGGCTGTCTAGTATTTTATATCAATATCAGGATAATAGGTGGAACAGGACAGATTCATAAGAAAATTATTGGCTACGAGCTTATGCTGAGCTTTATGGGCGCGGTTTGTTTGACACATCATTCCAACTACGCGAGTCTATATACACTCGTCTTCCAACCCAGCCGAATTGAGTCTGGGGAGGGGCTCAGAGCTAACAATTCTCGCTGGATCCAACTTATAGGGTAGAGTACATGTTGACAAGACACACGAAAAACAACTTTGAACTTTCAATTAACGGTGAACAAAGTAGTTAAATGCGTCTACCGGTCGAGACGAGCGGGGAAGTTACCAGCCTCTGTAAGATTTTTCGTTAGTATGCTGCTGTTCTTCATGAAATTGAGGAATATGACATATTCCTCTGAATACATGGGGCTACATACCGCGCTGGCCATCCCATCTGTCAGTCCAGGCCTTGGGGCAGAGAGAGCGGAAGGCGTGGTAGAACTGTTTTCGGTTCAATGGTGGTTAGAATTGGTTTCGCTTGGGTGTGGAATGGGGAGGCAGTAGCTAGCTAACCTGGCGGCATGGGCGGAAGTCCTCGCCCTTGGCGGTGACACACTTGTGGTAGTCGACGTAGTTCTGCCAGCAGTGCTTGGTCCTGTGAGTGTGGAGAAAAGATGTGTGGTTAGTTATTGCAGTTCGTACTGGGAGGCAGATTGAGCGGAGAGGTGTGCGAAAATCACGTACTGGTTCTGCTGGGGGAAACGAGCGTCATAGCCTATTCATCACCTCATATGTCAGCCCACAAAACTACCTCGATCGCGACGACAGCGACGGCGCCGCGAATGCTCGAAACCCTATCCTAGACGTACCAGCTGTGAATTGATTAGCAATTGACCTTAGTTACGGGACGAATTGGACCCATTGGAGGGTTGGGAGAGGGAAAGCTCACCAGTCACGAACTTGAAGGGCTTGGTCTCGACGGGCTCATCGGGGTCAACTTCAGGAATGGCACCCATTGTGATAAGATTGAAGGTATAGTAACCTTAAATTGGAAACTTGGGGTGTTGATTGGAGGGGGGTGGGATGAGCGGAGGGAGGAGGGGAGGAGGTCTGGAGAAACCGAGAAAGAGAGGAGGTTCTGCGGCCGGTGGAGTGGAATGACCCGTGAAGCCGTGAAGCCGGAAGTTCACGTTTGACCGCCTCAGGCGCCAAACTAGAGGTTACTAGCGAGCCACTCATGCGCCCAGGTTTCCTAAACACCCGAACCACCACCGTGACTTCCTACCGCCTTACCTAAGTGGTGCAACCTCCCCTTCCATCAAGCTCAGACTTCCGTCACCACTTCCCGATCTTGCCATCCCACCACTTAAGTCGTTCTGATACTCAACTTCAACCACCCCGGTTGCTCAAAGCCCATTCGCCATGTTCCCTACTCGTGTTCTGCGCATGCAGGCCTCCCGGCCTTTCGCTTTTCCTGCTCCTGTGAGTTGAATCCCCGGTCCGTCGTGTTGACTTGACGTTGGGGAAAAATTACGTTTGGCAGGGTGGCTAACAAGTGGCTATAGAAGGAAAACCACAGCGGTATGGGGTTCCCTCCCCGGTTTGCGCATAGGACCGATACTTGAATGATAGAATTGTGTTGTTGGGGGTGGGAATTGGACTAACGCCTGGCTTCTAGCCCACACTATCTCTCAGCGTCTGCGCACTCTGAAGAGAGTCCCCCCGGAGTTGATCCCTCTCGGTACGTCGCGGTCTGAATGATTAACACCTTGCCATTGGTTTACAGCAGTGCTAATGATTGTTTCTTGAATCCTACAGGTCTGGTCCTTGGGTATGTTTATTTCCTGATATCGTATGGCTTCTACATGACATGCCGTGAAGTCTAATCCCGACCGCCTCCCACCTCCCTTCCTCTCCCACTCCGCAGTCTTCATCTGCCCTCCACTGACGCAGTTCCATCGCAGTGTCGCCGTCGGTGCTGCCATCTACTCCAGCACCCGCAAGCTCATGACCGACAAGACCCTCCGTCTGTACCGCAACAGCCCCGAGGACCGCGAGCACTAAGAATGTACCATCACATTTGATTTCAAATTGCAATGGGCGATTCTTTGTTTGATTTTTCGGCGATCTGTATCATTCACGGGGTAGTCGGGCCTTGTCGCGCGGCCAGAGTTAAGAATGGAATGCTCGAAAATTCTCAGGCTCAGGGTTGGAGCGCGTGTAAATAGTACGGCTTTAAACGAAGGGTTCCTGATGGTGTAATATCGCAATATTACTGTCGCCCGCTTCTTGGCTTCTCTTTTTCTTCGTTGCGCCAGTTTCCCCTGGCGTGAGTGGATTATCGTAGAGCTCATTCCGGCTTGGGTCCGGCCACGTCCAGTTCCTCGAGTCCTTGCATGGGATCTTGACGTTCGGCTCCGTCGGCCTCGCCTCCCTCGGCAGCCAATTTGTCTTCCTCATCGACGGCATATTTGGCCAAGTATCCCTCCTATTGTTTCATACGTAATTAGCAAATGATCTGTAATGACAAGGTGAACGTCACGGCGTACCTGTTCCCAGATAGCCGTCTTGCTGCCGAGTCCTTCATTGCTGTCCTTCTGCGGCTTAGCAGCAGCAACCTTGATTGTCCGCCCATATAGTTCGCTTCCATCCATGTTGTCGATCGCCTCTTTCGCATCTTCGGGCAGATCAAACTCCACATATCCAAAACCGCGGTGGAGCTCGTTGGAGTTCGGGAGATCGGGTTTGGGGAGCGTAATATCAACCACTTCACCAAAGGGAACGAATGCCTCGGCCAGCGTCTGCATCGTCACAGCCTGGTCAAGACCCCCCACGTAGACGGTACATTTTAGACGTGCTTTCTCGCTCATGGTCGGTAATAGCAAACTTCCCAGATGGGCTAGGATGAAAAACGTCACTGAAAGGAGGGGGAGAGAAAGAGCGACCGCGTCGGGGCCTTTTCACTTAATGCCTAGGCAAAGCTCTAGACTTTGGGACGGAGCAACCTGATATCACGTGGTGCCCCCGGGGCGGGTGTTTTGGCGAGGGCCCAAAGCGGTTTAGGGGCCATCAGCCCCCCCGAGCGCCCTCCAGGAGGACACTTGGTTGATTGCAGTGACGCCCTCGATCGCATACTTGGCAACTCACCGTACATGCACCCCTCGGTTCTTCTATAGAGAGGGGAGGTTTCTTTCTTAGGTTGTTTCTCTGCTCGTTTTTCTGGTTCTCCCGCTCCTGGTGTTGCTTCTCGTCTATGACCTTTGGTGCCAGACCCTCCTAATTCGTGTCTGGTCCTAACTCTCCTAATCTATACCCTTTCCTTTTCCCGCCGCTCCTTTACATCTCACCATGGTGCGTCTGAGGGAGATTCCCCGGACGGCCACTTTCGCCTGGTCCCCCGGGGCTGCGTCGCCTCTGATCGCTACCGGTACTCGGGCCGGTGCTGTTGACGTCGACTTCTCCAATCAGACATGTCTGGAGCTCTGGGATCTGGCACTCAGCCGCCATGAGACCGGCGGAGAGCTACAGCCGGTAGCTAAGATTGATACGGACTCCGGGTAAATAGAGCCTTGCGTCTACCCTGCAATTTGCCGTGTAAGGGAAGCCGACGTGCTAACTATATCGCTCCGATAGCTTCAATGACCTAGCGTGGACGGAATCCGAAGATAACTCGCGGGGTGTGATAGCCGGTGCTCTGGAGAACGGCTCGTTGGATTTGTGGGATGCCGATAAGCTGCTTAATGGTTCCGAGTGAGTTGGCGGATGTGCTCTATGTTGGGACTGTACAATTGGCTGACGGTTCAAAAGTGATGCTGTGATCTCGAGAACTTCCAAACACTCAGGGGCTATCAAGGCTCTCCAGTTCAACCCCAAACACTCGAACTTGCTGGCAACCGGTGGTGCAAAGGGCGAGGTAGGCTACATGATGGAGAGGTGTCTAGACAGTCAGGCTCACGATTGGACAGCTCTACATTTCCGACCTGAACAATGTCGCGAACCCATACCGACTCGGAGGCACGGCGGCCCGCGCGGACGACATCGAATGCTTGGACTGGAACAAGAAGGTTGCACACATCTTGGTCACTGGTAGCAGTGCAGGCTTTGTTACTGTGTGGGATGTCAAGACAAAGAAGGAGAGCTTGACTCTCAACAACATGGGCCGGAAGGCAGTTAGCGCTGTGGCCTGGGACCCGGAGAAGGTGAGGCGTTCAGGAACATCCCTTATGTTTCCTAATTTGGGCTAACGCAGCGCAGCCTACGAAACTTGTCACTGCGACCCCTCTCGAGTCCGATCCTCTGATCTGTGTCTGGGATCTCCGTAACTCGCACGCTCCAGAGAGGACCCTCCGCGGCCATGAGTCCGGTGTGTTGTCGCTCTCCTGGTGTGCTCAGGACCCCGATCTGCTTCTCTCCTCCGGAAAAGATAACCGTACGATGTGCTGGAACCCGCAAACCGGCCACGCCTATGGCGAATTCCCCGTTGTCACCAACTGGACCTTCCAGACCCGCTGGAACCCGCACAACCCCAACTTCTTCGCTACCGCATCGTTCGATGGAAAGATCTCCATCCAGACCATTCAGAACACTAGCACCGAAACCGCACAGGCCATCGCCGATCAGAATCAGGCTCTGGATGGCGAGGACTTCTTTGCCAAGGCACAGACTCAACCTCAGGTCTCGAGCTTCTCGTTGCCGAAGCCTCCCAAGTGGCTCGAGAGGCCCTGCAGCGCCACCTTCGGCTTTGGTGGCAGAGTCGTCTCGGTCAACCTGGTTGAGAAGGGACAGCGTGCATCCAAGATTAAGATCACTCCGTTTGAGGTTGATGAAGCTGTTGGGAAGTCGACTGAGACCTTCGAGACCGCTCTCAAGGAGGGCGATCTGCGCAGCATCTGCGAAAGCAGAGCGGCTAACGCTGGCTCCGATGAGGAGAGGGCTGACTGGAAGGTTATTGAAGCCTTAATCTCTAAGGACCCTCGCAAGGGATTGGTCGAATACCTTGGCTTCGCTGACCAAGCAGACGAGGCTGCGGATAGCCTGTCTAAGCTCGGTCTCGATAAGGAAGAGGAAGTCAATGGGGAGGCGACGAAGGAATCCCGCGGGTCGGGAGCCAAGAAGCACAGGCGCCTGCAGTCGATGTTTGATGCCAATCCCGAAGCAGACAGTTTCTTGTCCGATTTGGCTGCCTCCAAGGGAGCCAAGACCAACAATCCCTTCCATATCTTCAATGGTTCGGAGAATGAAGCCGACACGGGCATTACCCGCGCGTTGCTCCTCGGTGACTTTGAGAAGGCTCTTGACGTTGCTCTCAAGGAAGATCGCCTCTCTGATGCCTTCATGATCGCCATCTGCGGCGGTCCCAAGTGCATTGAGAAGGCCCAGGAGCACTACTTCCAGAAGCAGACCAACAGCCCCAACTACGTGCGCCTGCTGGCTTCCATTGTCGGCAAGAACCTCTGGGACGTGGTTTACAACGCTGACCTGTCTAACTGGAAGGAGGTCATGGCGGCTCTCTGCACCTTCGCTGACGAGAAGGATTTCGCTGACCTTTGCGAGGCTCTGGGTGACCGACTGGAGGAAGAACTCCGCAACAACGAGGACAAGGGTATGCGCAAGGATGCTTCCTTCTGTTTCTTGGCCGGTTCCAAGCTAGAGAAGGTCGTTGCAATCTGGATTGAGGAGCTTCGTGAGAACGAGCAGAAGGCTATCGAGACCGCCGCTGATGACTCTGCTTTCTCGATTCACGTCCGTGCTTTGCAGGGGCTCATCGAGAAGGTGACCATCTTCCGCCAGGTCACCAAGTTCGAGGACACCGAACGCACCAAGGAGTCGGACTGGAAGCTCGGCACGCTGTACGACAAGTACATCGAGTATGCCGACGTTGTTGCTACGCACGGACGCCTGCAGGTTGCGCAGAAGTATCTCGACCTCGTGCCGGAGAAGCACCCCGAGGCTGAGATTGCACGGAACCGTATCAAGTTGGCTACGAGACAGGCAACCCCTCAGAGAACGCAGCCCGCCGCCGCTACTGTGACCAGGGCCGCCCTCAACAAGCCTCTCCCCCAGCCTAACGCATTCCAGCCTCAGAGAGCTTACTCACCGGCTACGCCAGCTGCTGCTCCCAGCCCCTACGCTCCAGCTGCAGCGGCTGTAAATCCCTACGCTCCTCCGACTGCCGCTGCCAACGCCTATGCTCCCCCAACTACTGCTGCTGCCAACCCTTATGCGCCGCCTACTGCTTCCGCGCCGGCGCCGCCTGTCAACCCATATGCGCCCCCAGCTGGCGGTAGCAGCTACACCCCTGCAGGATATCAGCCGCCCAAGGCACCTGCTTACGGTGCTCAGCCCCTAGGCGGTGGTGTGCCTCCGCCTCCGCGTGCATCTAACCAATCTCCTGCCCCTACCGTCACCACCTACACCACTGCCACGAATCTGCCCGCATGGAACGATCTGCCAGAAGGTTTTGCCAAAGCTCCCACACCTCGCAGGTCCACCCCTGCCGCTGCAACGGTTGCGTCTCCCTTCCCCAACCAGTCCCCCACTCTCACACAGGGACCTCCGCCACCGGCTGGTCAGCGAGCACCCTCAGTTCCCCCTCCGCCGAAGGGCACTGCTCCTCCCCCACGGATGACCTCGCCACCCGCCGTGCAGCCGTCTTCGACTACGATGCCCCCTCCGCCGGCCAACCCTTACGCTTCTTTGCCCCAGCCTCCTCCCATGGCGTCCACTATGGGAGTCCCAGCATCCATTCCTCGGGGACCCTCTCCATACAACGCGCCGCCTACCATGCCTCCTCCCCCCAACCGGTATGCTCCTAGCCCAGTCGCACAGGCTGCCAGCCCGCAACTGCAGACTCGGGCACCTGTCCCTCCGCCTCCGCAGGCAGCTGCTTCTCCGTATGCCCCTCAACCTCCGGCCGCGGGCCACTATGTCCCGAGCACTCCTCCGCCACACGTGCAACCCCCGCCGCAACAAGCCCCTCCGCCTCAGGCCGCCCCGGGATCCCGGCCAAGCACGGCTTCCTCGCAGAAGAAGCCCGCACCTGCCCCGCCTAAGTACCGTAAGTGATTCCATACCTCTCTTTTGGTGGCCTCTGTTTCTGACTTTTCATAGCCCCCGGTGACCGTTCCCACATCCCGGCCGACGCCATGCCTGTCTACGAGATCCTCTCCGCAGACATGCAGCGCGTGAAGTCTCGGGCCCCGTCTTCCTTCAAGGCACAGGTTGATGATGCCGAACGGCGGTTGAACATCCTGTTCGACCACCTCAACAACGAGGACTTGCTCAAGCCTAACACCATTGCGGACATGGCGGAGCTGGCTCGCGCCATCCAGGCGCGCGACTATGAGACCGCCCGGACGATCCACGTCGATATTATGACTAACCGGCTGGACGAGTGCGGTAACTGGATGGTGAGTATTTCTACCTTCTTACTGAACTACACCCATACTAATACTCTATCAACAGGTTGGTGTGAAGCGTCTTATCAGCATGAGCCGGGCCACCCCGTAAATTTGAGTCAAGTTTCAGTTTAAGAGGCTATGACAGGAAAAGGAAGTAAAAAGGAACGATTATGAGTTGTATGTAAAGGAAAGACGAGTCCTCTTTTATTATGCTTCACTGTACTGCTCATTGTCCGGTCCCGTTTTGCCTTGGTTGGGCTGTTTGCGAATTGTTCCTTCAGATGTCAATGTTATTACTATGTTTATTCTATTATTGGTAGTATTGAAAAGCCGTAAGCCCATGTATGTGTCTTTGCTTTGGTTCTTCTCGCGAGGCTTATACCATTAGCTATTCTATTCATGCGCAGTAATACTATGGGGAAATCACTATGTTGATTTTGTGTTAGAAGCTGCTACAGGCCGACAGTCATTACAATGCAGGTATAATACAACGAAGCATTGATATACGTTATATAATATATACAGTAACCATCCATCCACGATCATATCTCAACTAAATACCAATACTACTACTATAAACCCAACACTGGTATCGCTATCTCTATCTCTACCTCCCCGCCACACCCCCAATCCTACCTCCACGACCCGCAGGGAAATTCCTCGCGCTCAACAACGCCCCCTTCACACCTCTAATCTCCGCCCTGAAGTTGGCAATCGCATCCTCCTCGCCCTTGCCCACTCCCGTTGCCGCTCCACTCCCCGAATCCATTCCAGGCGTGCTATACATCCCGTACCCAGAGAGCGGGTTAAACCCAGGCTTACTGTAGATCAACCCATCCAGGTAATGATGCAGTTCGTTCAAGCGCGTGCGCATCCCACTGTCAAGCGTGCTGGATTCCTTCTCTGTGTCGGAGCATTCGCGGAGCTGAGACCGGATACTCTCAAGACGCTTGAGGTGGTCGGTTACTGCTGCGGTGGGGTCTGCTGGGGAGTCCTTGTCGGTGCCTGTGTTGTTGTTATTGTAGGTTGCGGCGAAGTCCGAGGTAGCTGTTTGGGTGGCGACGTCGCGGTGGAAGAGCTCCGTTGGGTCGGAGGTGATGGACTCGGTGTCGGTGGAGGATGAGTCGTTCTCGGTGTTTGCGGTCTTGTTCTTAAGGTTTTCTGGGATTACGGAGACGTTTTGCTCCAGCTTCTCGTTTAGCTTTTGGAGGTTGCTTGTTGCTGTGGAGGCGAGCTCTTGTCGCGCGCTTGTTAGGTTCGAGAGCATCGGCTTGATCAGGTATTCGCTGGCGCCGTAGAAGCTGGCGCTGAGGCCGGCGGCGCCGTAGAGGGTGTAGAGCACGCTGCGCAGGGTTACGAGTGGGGGTGGTTTGGTGGGCGTGGAGAGGAATTCTGGGTAGGTGATTATGGGGGGGATGTCGCGGGGGGTGGTGGTGGTGGTGGTGGTTTTGGGGGGTGTGGTGATTGAGGATGATGGCGTGGGTTGGGTGGTTGATGATGCTGAGGCATTGTGTGTTGGTTCTGGTGCTGGTTCGGTGCTGCTTGGGGGAGTGGTGTCCGGGGAAGCGGTCTTCTCTTCTTCCTCGGTTGTATCGCTCGCCTTGGGAGTGGATGATATGCCTAAGAGGGTGTTGATCTCGTCCTCTCGGAGACCCTTGGATTGCAAGAATGTCACTTTGCGATCGGTGGGAGCGTCCCGAATGGACTCATCCTCCAGGAATTTGGCTGCTTGTTCGATGAGAGCTGACCGGGAGGTGTCGTCGGAGGTCGGCGATGAGGTAGACTCGGAGTTGTCATTGTCGGGGTTGGAGGCGTTGTTGGGCTGCTGCCATGAAGGAATTGAGGATGGCTTGGGCTTAGAGTCTGCCATAGCTTGTATGAGGAGGTGTAATTGAGAAAAGCAGGAATAGGAGAGTGGAAGAGGTAAGTTGAGTGAGGAGATAGCAATGGATAGTAACCATGTGAGGGAAGATAAAGTGAGGAGAGACACTGGGTTCCCCGACCTCGGCTGTATTGGTGGTATTGTATGGGGGCGGTACGGGCTGTACGACAGGTACTTCTTGGGGGGGATGTAGTAAGTTTGGATGCGGTTTGGGCCACAAAGGCTAATTCTGGTGAAACTTGAACTCTATGATTACTGGGCAACACACTAGGGGATGTTCTGACAGGTAGAGATACCATTAAACTGCGACGCAAATGAATGTGGCTGCTTACTAGCAACCTATACTTGTTGGTATCACTCTTTGGAGCTACTGGTAGATAGTAGATAGTGGAAAGTAGTATCTCTACCTAAAATATATTATCCGATCTATGAAGATAGTTACTAGTATGGGGATTGACAGCATGGGAATTTACAAGAAGATTATTTACCAACTAAAAGTGAAAGAGATAAATTTAGATACCACAGAATATACTCAAATAGTTGATTTCAAATGAAGTTATCATATAGTATGGCATATAAGCATAAATGTTGCGGTGGTGGACAAACCAAGACGATAGGGAAAGGCGGCCAAGGATTACCGACCGCCTGGCAGAACCGCCGAAGCGGCCAAAGGAAGAGGCGAAAGTCCGCGGATCTTCAAGGATTCTTCCTGCTGAAAAGGAAGCATTTCCATCAAACCGGTTCATTCTCTGCTTTGCTCTGGTTTTGGGTCGCTCGATTAGGTACCGACACATACGTGTACTTCTCTGCCTGCCAGTCCACTCAGAACATCGGCCACTGTTGTCCAAGCCCAGGTCTCACTTGGGGTTGCATTGACGACCATTTACTTTCTACTAGAGAAAGCATCCCATCACCTCTCGGTGAGTCGCCCTCGTATTAGTTGCCTTGACACACCCTCGCTGCTTTGCCCTTGTCTCCCTGTCACGTCTCATCTGGTCTGTTCTGGTCTCTTCTGGCCGGGCCTATACATTTGTTCAACATCTGCGAAACATCAGAAAAGAGAGGATTACACCCCCCTCTCTTTCACCCCCTCCCCGTTTATTTACATTGATTATCCATCCCCGAGGCCTCATCTATTTCTGCCCGCGCAACCATCGGGAAACCCCTGCTGGGTCAGTCCAGGGAATAATCCCTAAGTCCGCGTCCGGGTTGCGCCAGATACCGCACCGCCGTTGGATTGACCACGCCTTTTTTCTTGGACCTGAAACCCATCGGCCCTGAACATCTGCATTCAAAATGCTCCCATTGGCTCCGTCATCATGGTCCATGTCGCGGGGAGATGTCCAAGTGGCGTCCGTCAGAGATGTGATAGGGGTGGATGTCCTGTGCCTTTCCGGAGTGCATGGCTCATCCTGAACACTGGCCCACGTAGTCATTCTTAGCGGTGGATGATGGTAATCTGGCGCTGCTTCTGCCCATCGCGAGGATCTCATCTCTTTTGACCTCCAGATGCGCTCATTCACTCCCCTCCTCACCCTTCCCCCTCTTCCCTGCCTCCGCAATCCCACCATCTGTTCATCCACCGGGACATCCAGGGAAAAAGCCAGATAATCCCCCTCATCACTGTTACTCTGTTTGAGTTTACTTCCAAACCCATTATCTGGCTTCCCCATAACACTACCCCTGCTACCCAGTCTTCATCTGTTTCCAACTACCTTTGTTCTATCTTGCTTTACTCTCTATCTGCCATTCCCCCTTGTTAGCCTGTCGCACAGTTCATCTTATTTGAGCCTGCTTTCATTCCTGCTTGCTCTATCCTCAGATTCGTGCGGCTGGGATTGCATCTCAGTTTTGCACTTTGCGTTCTCTGTCATTGGGAGTTTTGCGGGGATTTTACTAGCAGCCACAATGCTTTTGCGTCGCTCACTACGTTCCCGCTTGGGGCGGGATGACCAGCCGAGCATGGATGCTAACATGAACACCAGATCTACGAGAGCTGCCGCCAGGGCTGCCATCTCCACCCCAGCGGTGACGATTTCACGCGGTGCATCTGACCTACACGGGACTTCTACTCACAAGTCAATTCATTTGACAGTAAAGATGCCGTCCAGCAAACTTCGTGAAGTTACCAGTGGTAGCACCCGAAGTGGTGCATCGACCAGACGTTCGGTCAATGTCTTCACGGAGAATCCCATTGTGACGGGTCCCCGTACCAGCAGACCCAAAAAGAAGCTTGTTGAAGTGGATACAAGCGATGAAGATGACCTGGAAGACCAGGAAGAAGATGAGGTGGACGATGATGAAGATGCGCCAGGTGAAGACGACGATGACGTAGATGCCGATGGCGATTTAGACATGGACGATGCGCCGCCACAGCCGCCAGTGTCCAAACGGCAGGCGAAAGCAGCAGCAGCAGCGCCGAGCGGGAAGGCTGTCAAAAGTGTAGAGGCTAAAGAGATGGAGCTGGACGATGACGACGAGGACGACGACGATGAGGAGCTTTCGGAACTGGAGTCAGACGCTGAAGGCGAGCCAGACGACCAGGACGAAAGTATGATGGCCAATGGTGGTGCCGAGGATCTAGAAGGGGAAGAGGAGGAAGAAGAGGATGATCTGGACAGCGATGACGATACCCCGACCGCCGATCTGAGCAAGATGACCAAACGGCAAAGGGGTAATCTGGGTAACGACTTCCTGCAACTTCCTATGGGTGAGTCTTTATGTTCCGCATGATCATTGGAAGCATCATGAGTCTGACTGAGAGCAGAACCCCAGGTGAAGAAGCACCTGACGGCTGAGGAGCGCGCTATGCGTCGTGCCGAAATGGCTCGTCGTAGAAAGAACCTCAGCGAGAAGCGAAATGAGGAAGAGAAGGTACGTAACATCTTTTCTGTACTTCGAGTCGATACTGATATGGCAATCACAGATGGACACCATCAACAGGCTTCTACGGAAGCAGGCACCCAAGCGCCGAGGACGCATTCCAGCTGCAGAGACAGCCGAAGCAGCTTCTGCGGACCAGGAGGTCGCGGAACCCGAGAAACCCGATCCGACAATGGTGAGGTGGGTAAGTGGCCGCGAAGGCAGTCGAGTAGGCGTGCCGGAGGAATGGCTCGATATACCTGCAGGACGTGTATTTGGTGGCAATGGCTCGGGCAAGCTCGTGCAAGAGGTGTAACAGGCATGGGAAGATGGGCGCATCTGGAGCTGGGCGTTTGAAATAGGTTTCTAGGGAGGGCATAGGCTTCTATAATACTTAGGTCAAGGATGTACATTTACAGAGTGGATCATTTATATAACTGTGTTCATTTAGTTATTCTGGGTTTTTGCGTAGAGATACTGGACGTTATTTTATCTTCAAATGGCTATTTCAGATATTGGCTATAGATGACCGTGAGCTTTAAGTCACATGGACAATGGTGGAAGCTCGTACTATACTTGAGCTGCACATAATCTGCCTGCGTTCATGATCCCACTGCAGTCCATGTTTTTGGTAGCCTATGCAAGACAAAATGTCCCAGT